TAGTTAGAGTGCTGCAGCAGCTTTCAAAATTCTGACCCAGACAAAGTAATAAATGCATTCTGGATCATGAGCTGGTGTACATAAACGTATATGAATAAATTTGTATATATTTTATAAATAAATTTTTATCAAAATAATACTGTACTTATTGGCAATAAACTCTGAATTTTCTGTTCTTTTCTAGTTCAATTTTAAAGCTGGTAGCAACACACAAAACTGATCTTAAGAAAAACAAATACAATGAACACTGAGGACTCCCATACCACTGAGGGTACTTCCAAACAACACTAATTTTCCTTCTTTTTTCTGAGACCGAGTTTCGCTCTGTTGCCCAGGCTGGAGTGCAGTGGCAGGATCTCAGCCCAGTGCAACCTCTGCCTCCCAGGTTCAAGCGATTCTCGTACCTCAGCCTCCCAAGTAGCTGGGATTACAGGTATGCACCACCACGCCCAGCTAATTTTTGTGTTTTTAGTAGAGACAGGGTTACACTATGTTGCCCAGGCTGGTCTTGAACTCCTGGGCTCAAGCGATTCACCTGCCTCAGCCTCCCAAAGTGCTGGGATTACAGGCGTGAGCCACTGCCACTGGCCCCAACACTCATTTTCAAATCAGCTTTTAGCAGAAGTAGATAGCTATTAGTTTCACCTAAGCTGCCTCAAATCCTATCGCAGGCTTCAGTGAGTTTTAGGAACTTCAGTATCCTAATGAATATTTGCGTGGTTACGAAAATTGTAACTGCATCAAATGTAACTTTCAAAGGCTAATGAAGTTTGCATGAGTTTGTTTTGAAAAATTATAGCCCCCTCTGTTTCCACAGTGACTCAGAAAATATCTCTTATCTCCAAACAACTGCAGAATTCTTTTCTTTTCTTACATAAAAGAGTTACTTTCCAGTGACATTCGGAGTACTTACATGTCAATGAAAGAATAAGATTTAGAAAATCATTTGATAACATTATAAACGAAAGACAATTTATAATTTCCAGAAAAAAAATGTATTTGACATTCAAAAAATGCTGCTTATTTTGTTCTTTGCTTAAGAGTCACATTTAAAAACAAACATTTAATTGTTCTGGATCTCTTTTGTTAAATCCAATCCAACTTTTCATCTAGCTCGGTAAGTGGGGATACTACATAACATGAAAAATCTTAAGGTTAAACAGGAAAAAGAAACGTGACTTCACAAATTCCATTCTTCTAGTCTTCATCTCTTACTGTGAGATCTTAGCAAGTTTTAGCCCTCTGTACCACAGCTTCTTCATCAGTAAAGTGGGGATAGTAAGACACCTACTTCACAGGATTGTTTCATAAATTACTTTTTAATCACTCTGAACAGTGCCTAGCAAAGCAGCATCCAGTAAACCATGACCATGGTTCCTCTCTTCTGTAAATTCAAAACTGGAAGTTCCTTATCCTGTTCTAAAGGTTTATCTAAAAGCTGCTGGCAAACGGGGTTGGATTTCAGCCCCTACTGTATTCTCCATAATGCAAACCAATGCATTTTTATGCAATGCATAAAAATGAAGAAAAGAAACAAAAACAACATTTAAGATACAGCGTTTCAAGTACCCATTTATATGGCTTTTGATAATGGGGAGAACAAATTCAAAATTAATGTATTTATTACTACCCTTTGCTAATTCCAAAAAGGATCTGAAATAGAATCACTTGCTGTTTTCATGGCATAAAAGCTCCCACAAATTACAAACATTAAAAAAATCTAATTCCATTTTCAGTGTCCTATTGAGATATATGTCTTTGAATTATCTCAGAAATACTCAGAAAACACCAATTTTATTCTATCATGGTCTATGTATTATGGATATAAGACCTAGGAAGTTGGTCTAGAGTCCTTATCTACAGATCAAAATTACAAGTAATAAAAATATTCAAATACAGTTTTGATGGATAACCACTTTTTATTAGATATGTCTTTATTATACATATCATGGTCTGAATGTGATGACAGATCCTGAATCTCTAACTAGTAAAAAAACTTCTTTGTGGCAATTCAATTACATTATCATTCATTTA